CGTAGAACAGCTAACACCTCTTTCTTGAACTGACTGTAGTTACGCTCAGCCGTATTAAGTGTTCTACTCTCGAATCTCAACGGTCTCTCCTTCCCTCCTGCGTCCTTCTGGGACAGCAAACCTCCCACTGAACATGGTCCAGCATCCGTGGATACTATGAAGGGTCTCTCGGTTTCGTCGTCAAAGAATGGAACACCCAACACGTGCCCTCCTTCCTTAAATTCGTCTTTAAGTTCTTGCATTGCGAGTTCCTGCGAAGCATCCCAGTAAAATTTTTCAGTTTTCCGAAGGAGTAACCTCAAGGGCTCAGCCTTCTCCGCATATCCCCGTATGAATATTCGCCAGTATCCGGCTACTCCTAGAAACTGTCGGACCTCGGTTGTGCTATGTAGCGGCGACGGCCAGTTCAGAAGTTTGTCTAGTTTTGCCGGGTCCGCTCGCCGCCCTTTCGAGTCACATATAAAGCCCAAGATCTTTATAGTTGAAACGGCCCATCGGCTCTTTGTCCCGCTAACTGTTAAATTGGCATCGTCCAGCTGCTCGAGCACCGCGGAAATATCTATTAGATGCTGCTCGACGAATCTCCTGACTCCAGGTACGACCTCYGTSTCATCCCTGTCTACTGGCCCTTTTATAGGGAAGTCATCCAGAAAAACTTCAACCTTATCAGGGATGAAGTCCTTGAGGACGGCTACCATAGCTCTCTGGAAGACAGCTACCCCATTTGTCCACCCCATAGGGACAACCATCATTTGTATTAGTCCCAATGGCGTGTGCATGGCCGTGAGGTGTCTGTCTCTAGGATCAAGCGGTACCTCATCATACCCTGAGAACAGATCRCAGACCGAATAGATCGACCTGCCTGCAGCGCCTTCTGCTAACAAATCGGCGTGTGGCACCGAGCCCACATCTCGTATTGTCACCGCGTTGACCTTCTGAAGGTCCTGGATCCATCGGATCTTGCCATTCGGCTTCCGTAAGAAGAACCATCGATTAGCATACGCGCTATCAGACGGTTCCGCGACATGGGAAACCATCTTTTCTTTCAGGAAAGCAATAACTTCCTCTTTCTCCTTCTAGGCATACTTCCATCCCGCGTCATTCCAGGGAACATGTGGTACGGTGTAAATCCTTGCTGGCTTCGCGTATCGAGGGTCAACCCTACCTCGCTCCTCATCGCTGAAAGCTATTGCCTTATCACATGTTTTCAGAATCTCTATCACTCGTTCTCGTTCTTGCGGGGTCAGATTTTTATCTCCGATGTCCATCCCTGCTATCCTATCTTGCGTCAGGCGTTGTGGCTCCTTTCTCTTTYTTTCTTTGATCTCTCTCGCGATCTCTTCTTCCGATATCCCTTCTAGAGGAGATCGCTCGCGGCCCACTGCTGCTGGCTTAACCTTCTGAGCTACCCGCTTGTGTCGCTTAGGCGGCCCCCCATAAGGGGCCGTGCCCTTAAAAAAGACACGGATACTACACCGCCTAATTCTTCATCTTCTCCCTTCGGGTASGAGTTGCCGTCTACTATTAACCGACCCCCTAAATCTTCTATCTCGACAACTCGACCTTCTTCCTCTGTGAGCAGTGGTCCATACTCCTTCTCGCGAAATCGCACCGTGCGGCTGGAGATAGGCAAAGACCTAACCAGATCACCGGGTCTCACACCCACAGCGAGAGCTGCTCTGTTCCTCGGGTCCCGAGGCTCCACCGTCTCAATCATTACTCGCGTCCCGTCCGACCTCTTAATGGACAATGTCTGGCTCCCGTCAGGTCGCTCTATCGTCACCGCATGCACGTGGCTTAGCCACGTCCGTCCCAAGAGTAGGTCTGAGCTGCAGTTCTTGACTGCAAAGACAGGCAGGGTCACTCGTACCCCTTGGACCTCAATGGCTATCTTGTGACAAACCCCTGTGATCTGTTGCTTTCTACCATCAGCAGTCTCTATCTCGAATAGGTATGATCTATCGAGGCCCAGTCCAACCTGTACTGCCAGGTCCTCGTCTATGATAACTGCCTCACTGCCGTTATCGATCACAGCRTCAAGTACCGCTCCATCGTTTATAATTGTCTCCACTGCCCCACTACCAAGTATATAAAATTTGTCTGGAGGCACGCCTTCCATTCCATCTAGAAGGACTGTTGCCATGCGATCCGCTSTGGCAGTCACCYCCGTCACTGCTACTGTAGAAGTTTCCGCCTTAGGGGCCCCTTGCCCCTCCTCTGATAGAGGTATGCGAGTCTTGCGCGTRATCATCTGTAACTCATCGCGAGCCGGCTTCGATGCYGCCAGGTAYTCCAGAATAGAGCATTGCATGGGCTGCCGAAGAGCCCTCCTCAGCGGCTCGACCGTGTCAATCTCATCCAGCGAACTCTTCATTAAGAACTTCTTCACTCCCCGCTTTCGCGGCGAAAGGATAACCTCCTCTCCATCAATTCGCTGCCCGTCTCTCTCTGCCATCACGTAATCCGTGTCAGTTTTCTTTGATGCAGACCCTTTCAACGACTTGGTGGCYGCCACCCTTATCGGTGTGGTTGCCATATCCCCCTCAAAGGTTATCTTGATGCTCTGGCTCCTGGCCGGCTCCGTTCCTTTACTTGTCTTTATTCTCCTTGCTTCGACATTCTCCTTCATCGAAGGGAACATCGATACATCTCCGAGATTATCTGCCCACTTGACGTACTTGCGGTCGTCAAGCACGACAATTCCCTCTTCTATTGCCCGTCTGAGGTCCGGACAATCCCTCTTGATATGATTTTCTCCTCTACAGTAGACGCATGAGTTCCTCGGAGTAGATGCCCTGTCGTCCGCGCCTCTAGGGGTCGATTTCCTGGCCGCGTTGGGGTCAGGCGACTTTGGATATGGTTCTGATGAGACACCATATCCCCCTCTCTCATTCCGACCGCGCGAGTCGTTGCGCCGGTCTCCTCCAGACCCTCCTTGCTCATACTGCCCTTGCGAATCGTCCCGGCGGTCCCCTGAGTCATATCGTCCTCGTGACCCATCGCGTCGGTCCCCTCGGTTGTACCATCCGCGCCACTCGTCGCGATGCCCTCTCGCATCTCCTCCGTGCTCAAACCGTCCGCGCGACCTATCTTGTCGTTCCTAGTCCTGATCTCCTCTCTCTACTTCCTTTGTAGTCATCTCGGCTAAACCTCTCGTATCTGTCATCCCTATGCCCATCTTGGCCCGATCTCTCGTATCTRCCTCCCCTATATCCGTCTCGTCGGACCTGATCTATCTCCCATCGGCYGCGGGAGTCGCCCCTCTCCCGGTCAGTCCCATAGCGGGGGCTCCGCGGGTAGTCGTCCAGCCTCCTCGCTCGTACGAACGCATCGTGATCTCTGCGGTCTCGGTCTATCTCGTCGTCTCTACGTCGCCACTGTTCCTCATCTCTCTCACTCTCTCGCATCCGATTATCAGTCAGCGTTCGAGGATTTCTATCCTCGACGCTCCTCCAGGGATCGCTGTTCCTACGGTCCCAGCGAAGCGAATAGGACCCTCGAGGTTTGATCGGTACTCATTATATGTGATAGGGAGACTGGATGGACCATTAGTGTTAGTGATCATAAAACTCCAACTCCATACCAGACTGTGCATAGTTGAGGAAGCAGAGTGTGTCCGCCGCGCGCTGCGTGAGGCTAGGGAAACAGGACTTTGGATTGGAATAGAAGGAGGACGGAGGATAAAATACGTACTCCAAGTGACAGCTTTCGAAGGGCGGTCTCGGATAAGGGCATGGTACGAGACGACCAGAGAGGCTGAGAGGTTGAAGATAAGAGAAGCCAGGAAAGCTGGAGAGTTAGGGAGAGTTGTAACATATGGTGCAATACTCAGGGTGTTAGCTGCTCACGACCGGTACAGGAAGGAATCGATAAAGACTTTAGAGGCGATAGAGGATCGTGGAGATAAGGAGGATTATGAGACATTTTATGACATATTGGAGCGGTCGGCGATGAGGTTACAAGTGGTTATAGCACTAACTTACCTCAGCTGTTAGGCAGATGACCTCGTAGCCGTCTGGGAGATGAGGTAGTGGAAATAGAAATTGGAAGCTCTTGGAAGGATAGTGGAAGCTAGAAAGGTCGATGGGCGACTTTGTATGGCATTAGGAGGGCTTTTAGCGGGCTAACCGATTCAGGACATGGCTAGGAGAACTAGCAAGGAGGACGGAGATAGACGCTCGGAGACTCTTGAGGGGTGTTGATCAGGAGACATTGGCTAGGTTTGGGACTGCGATCCGTCTCAAGGATAGAGGTCCTGTCACAGGTGTACTGCAGATCCGGAGAGGAACGGCCTTGTTGGCGATCCCGAAGGAGAGGTTTACTTAGACACGGAGATTCTTGGGATAGAGGGAGAACACGAGATCTGCGACCGGTACGGGATACTGGAAGTGGTAATCAAGACAGCCGAGAGCTAAAATTGGAGGCGGACGCGAGCCGTGACAAGAAAACAGGTCCGGGTTGTCGCAACTGTCACAGGTCCGGGCTGCAACGACTGTTATAGGGTCGGGCTGTAACAGTTGGCAAGAATACCTAACTGCGTCTTCTGGCGGTCCAATGGAACCCGACACGATGGGGCCACAACCGACCACGGGCGAAGCGGGAGAGGAGTACAGGACATCGCCCGATCGAGCTCTGAGGGATCTGAAGGAACGAATTAGGCAAGAAGCACCGATGAGATGGGTTGACCAAACCAATGACGAAGGGCCCGACGTAAGAGGCGAACCAGTTGCGACAGCGGCGCAGGAGGCTCTAAAGACGGGTACCTCGAGCGGACGACGAGAAGTGACGAGGCGACGCTCCCCCGAGTACGAGCGGAGGGACACCATAGCGGACAGGCACAGARACGACTGGAGAGAGARTTTGAGGGATTCCTATTGGAGGGACAGAGATAGAGACAGGGCGCCGCCCAGGCGAGTCTT